TTATTTTTCCTAAAATTTGAAATGGTTGCAAATGTGTTAAAATAGTGCAATAAAGGCGCATGTTCAGTGTACATTTATCTTTATTTTTTGTTAATAACAACTTTGAGTATGCAGTATACACATTGAACACCATTTCACTGTTCAGTCCACATATATATCTGTACTAACTTTTGGTATGAATACACACCACATTACTTTTTCACTAGACTGGCCACCGTCTCTAGAATATTAAATAATTAAGAAAAAACTAACTCTAATCATTTTGATCACTTGGATGTCTGATTCTAAGTTCTAAACTAGGGGAAGATAAGCTAGTAGTAAAATGCAGTCGAGAAATTCTTCATAAAAACTTAGGGGCTGGTGGCCAGTCTACTTTTTCACATATCGTCCTCTTTTAGTTACAGTGACCTTGCCATTGTTGCTTTAGAAAATCCCGACATTAAAATTGTAAATGCGTCGGATTTCGCACTGGCAGTTGCCGACTGCTCTTCTGTATCAGCATCAATATTAAATTCTAAATAAGCTCCGAGGTACGACACCACTTCCCCCACCGTACATGCGCCATCACACTGGGTCAGTTCCACTTTCGATTTACTGGCCGACACAACGGCCCCGTTACCACACTCGACGGGCGCAGATTTGTCAATTGTTCCTTCGGCTAATTCATAAAAGACTTGCATTAATGTTTTAGTATCGGCTACTGAACACCCATACCAATCTTTAAGAGTTTCAGCTTTAGAATTACAAAAACAATACTTGCAGACGACGAGTTTTCTACAACCGGAAATTGATAATATAAAACTAATTTTTGAAGCGGAAAACGGGAAAAAAATCCGGATTTCGTATTTTCTTTTTTTTTTTCGCAAATAAAAAAATTGGGGCGGGGCCTCAAAGAGGGGGCGGGCGGGGATGAGAATCTAGCAAATAATTTATTATGGCCTAAGTATAAACAGCTAAACACAACAAATGCTAGAGACGGTCACAATAGGCAAAAACAGCTAAACACAACACATGCTAGAGACTGCCACAATAAGTAGAAACAGCTATGCACAACAAATGCTAGAGACTGCCACAATAAGTAAAAACAGCTAAACACAACAAATGCTAGAGACGGTCACAATAGGCAAAAACAGCTAAACACAACACATGCTAGAGACTGTCACAATAAGTAGAAACAGCTAAACACAACAAATGCTAGAGACTGCCACAATAAGCATAAACAGCTAAACACAACAAATGCTAGAGACTGACACAATAAGTAGAAACAGCTATACACAACAAATGCTAGAGACTGCCACAATAAGCATAAACAGCTAAACACAACAAATGCTAGAGAAGGCCACAATAAGCAGAAATAGCTAAACACAACATATGCTAGAGACTGACACAATAAGTAGAAACAGCTATACACAACAAATGCTAGAGACTGCCACAATAAGCATAAACAGCTAAACACAACAAATGCTAGAGAAGGCCACAATAAGCAGAAATAGCTAAACACAACATATGCTAGAGACTGCCACAATAAGCATAACCAGCTAAACACAACAAAGGCTAGAGACTGCCACGTAGAAACAGCTAAACACAACAAAGGCTAGAGAAGGCCACAATAAGTAAAAACAGCTAAACACAACAAATGCTAGAGACTGCAACAATAAGTAGAAACAGCTAAACACAACAAAGGCTAGAGACTGCCACGTAGAAACAGCTAAACACAACAAAGGCTAGAGACTGTCACAATAAGTAGAAACAGCTAACCACAACAAATGCTAGAGACTGCCACAATAAGTAGAAACAGATAAACAAAACAAATGCTAGAGACTGCCACAATAAGTAGAAACAGCTATACACAACAAAGGCTAGAGACTGCCACGTAGAAACAGCTAAACACAACAAAGGCTAGAGACTGCCACAATAAGTAGAAACAGCTATGCACAACAAATGCTAGAGACTGCCACAATAAGTAAAAACAGCTAAACACAACAAATGCTAGAGACTGCTACAATAAGTAGAAACAGCTAAACACAACAAAGGCTAGAGAAGGCCACAATAAGCAGAAACAGCTAAACACAACAAATGCTAGAGACGGCCACAATAAGCAGAAACGGAATTCGTTTAATATTTAAAGACATTTAAACATAATGTTTCTTTTCGTAATTCAAATATATATCATTTCATCATTGGTAAGATTGAGTTTGACAAGTCATTAGATATTTTTGGTTTCAGACTTTCTGGTTATGAAATCGTTCACCGCATTGTTTCGTGACCTTACTTTAAAACTAAGTATGTCTAATACACTAATAAGGTCAATAGACCGTATTTAAGTACACTTAATCCGGCCCTACACACAATACCTGTAATCCCCGACCAAAATGCCATGTAAACTGTGTCAATACCTTACAATAAACGGAACAATTAAGTTCACAAACATACAGGTAGGGCAATGCGTATTATGTATAATACGATTAGTCGATTATCGGGCAATTAAATATTATTTCAAACATAAATTATAGGATCCTTAATGCAAATATAGATCCACTGTGATGCTTGTAAAGGGCATGAGGCTTACACTTGGCACAATGCATCATACAGTCTAACCAGGGAACAGCCATCTTGGTTTTAGATAACATGGCGTCGAGGGCAATAACGTAATAATTTCATTTTAGAAGGAAGTGCCAGATTTGAAGATGATTCTTGGAACTAATTTGCGATGTCTCATGCTATTGACTGGGTATATGATTTTGGTGTTCGGAGACCCTCAGGCTTGTACGTATACCGAATCATCCAACTCCTACGAATGTAACGCGCACAACTGGGCTTTACCTCTGCAACTGACACAGTTCAACTACACACCACAGGTACTGTCTTTGATACAGGTAAATGGCGAGCTCCCATCATCAGCCCCCAGCGGCCCAACATTTGACGGATTTGATGGCATCGACAGCTCGACCCTTGACCCCAATTACGTGCCCAGCCTCCACATCCGGTGTGCTATTACCGGTCAACTCATCCTGACTCCGGGTTCTTTTGCAAACATGTCCTATATAAACGAGCTTCGATTTTTTGACTGTTCCGTGTTAAATCTTGCTGATACAGTTTTCAGTGAACTTGTGGAGCTGAACTATCTCAGTTTTGACGGCGGGTTGGTGAGTAACGTCGGTTTTGATGCCTTCTCTGGTTTGAATATCTATCCTATGGCCGTTCCCAACCCTCTGGGTCTTTTGGCCTTTCGAAATTCTCAACTGACATCTTCTGGACTTCCTAACGGCGTCCTGTACAACCTAGAGAACATCACACAGATTATCATAGAGAACTCCGCTTTACGAGTGTTACAACCAGATATGTTTAAGAAATCGACAAAACTGACGTACATTTCACTCGACAGCAACCCATTTACGAAGATCACCGAAGGGCTGTTCGCGGAACTTTCCGCGCTCTCGGTGGTGAGCATGAGCGGCATCAGTTGGGATTGCACGTGCCCACAGCTCTGGTTTGAAGATTACCTCACAGAAAACAATATAACATTGATAGGCGACATTGTTTGTAATACTCCGTCTGACTATGAAAGTAAGTATGGCTTTTATTACGAAAACTTCAACATACAAGTGAAATACATGTATACAAGGAATTCCTCTGCAACCATAGCGTTTATTATCCAAGCAATTACTGAATTATGTTCACGTCTTAGTTCCCTAATTGTGGACAGCATTGCAGACGAATTGAACAACGCGCGTCAGCGCATTTTTATTATTTGTCTTTCAGGATTACAGGACAATGACCATGGACAGTTTACAGTTCGGTAGTCATTGTTTGCATTAATTTTAGCAATAATAACTTGATTGATTTTTGTATATGTCCTTCTTGAAGCAAACAGCCGGTATCGGGTAGTGGCCTTTCACGTAACGATCATGACGTAACAATGATAATGCCGTAACGATGCAAAGTTACTATTTCATAGCTTACAAATGAGAGGGAAAATCCTGACCAAAAGTGAATATGGTCGTGACGTCTGTATCAGAAAGACGTCGTAACCACACGTCCATACCCATTAGCGTGATTATAACAAATCTGACGTCATATGACGTTTGTGTCCGAACCACTACAAAGGAGGATGTATTTTTGTTACATACCTAGTGAATCAGGTCATGTAATTCAAGGTGCCGTATTTCACTCTATACATGTTTAAGTTATACACGAATAATGAATCAAAACAACACGCTGGTTCATCTCACGTCTCGGATTGTAATCATTTTTATGCAATGCTGTCGTGCAATTTGAGGCGTCGGTTGAGTACATATGTATTCCGTTGCCATGTTGAAATAACCCATCTTTTTATAAAACTTAAGTCTCATGACGTTAGTCCGCTTTAGGGAAGGATGTAGTTTAACAGTATTCTCGTAAAAAATAACTTTTCATTACGTAAGTTACTTCTCAAGTGTAAACAAGAATGAACTATAAACAGCATTAATTTACAAAGGGAAGGGCGGGATGTGTTTTAGCAGTTTGATGAGGTTATTGGCCTTTAGCCTTTCGGCAAATCAGCACAAACATTACAATACATATTACAAAATTGGAGAATGGACAAAATACACGTAATTATTCATTCGATCTCAATTGTGAAGCAGCAATTTAAAAAAAAAAAGGGAAATATTATTCAATTTCTTCTTATGTCTGTCGGAAAGTAAGTTAATTAATTAAAACATAGAAGGTCTAATTCTGTAAAATCTATCAATGTAATGTGTTCTTAATTCGTTGTAAAATGAACAAACGAGAATAAAATGCAATTCGTCCTCTATATCGCTAGATTACACTGTACACATAGTTTCGAGGTATACTCTCATATCTGCCCTTTTCTATACGAATACATACACAGGAGTCTCAACTCCATGACAGTAATTACTACAACAGTATTAGAATACTTATGACAGTAATTACTACAACAGTATTATAATACTTATGACAGTAATTACTACAACAGTATTATAATACTTATAACAGTAATTACTAAAACAGTATTATTATACTTATGACAGTAATTACTACAACAGTATTATAATATTTATAACAGTAATTACTACAACAGTATTATAACAGTAATTACTAAAACAGTATTATTATACTTATGACAGTAATTACTACAACAGTATTATAATTCTTATGACAGTAATTACTACAACAGTATTATAATACTTATACCAGTAATTACTACAACAGTATTATAATACTTATAACAGTAATTACTACAACAGTATCATAATACTTATAACAGTAATTACTACAACAGCATTAAAATATTTATAACAGTAATTACTACAACAGTATTATAATATTTTAATGCTGTTGTAGTAATTACTGTTATGAGCATTATGATACTGTTGTAGTAATTACTCTCATATGAATTATAATACTGTAACACACCCCTCCCTACACTTAAGTAGTAATTACTGTCATAAGTATCATAATACTGTTGTAGTAATTATTACTTATAACAGTAATTACCACAACAGTATTATAATACTGATAACAGTAATTATTACAACAGTATTATAATTCATATGAGAGTAATTACTACAACAGAATTATAATACTTATGACAGTTATTACTACAACAGTATTATGATACTTATGACAGTAATTACTCCAACAGTATTATAATACTTATGACAGTAATTACTACAACAGTATTATAATTCATATGAGAGTAATTACTACAACAGTATTATAATACTTATGAGAGTAATTACTACAACAGTATTATAATATTTATAACAGTAATTACTACAACAGCATTATAATACTTATAACAGTAATTACTACAACAGTATTATAATACTTATAACAGTAATTAC